TTTGGACAGTGAAGGAATGTCAGGATTCTTGCTCAGAAAAAGGATCAACATGCTCTGAAGTCAGAGCACAAAAACCTTTTTGTAACAAAGTATCGATTTCTGCTGTCCCTGTATCCATACATTATTAGAAACAAAATATCACCATGCTACACAGTATCCATTTTTCCCCACCCCTAAGTATTAATACTTTCATTTTTTTCCTCCTAGTAATAATGGCAGCGAATCGGATGTGTTGGATGAGTTGTTAACGTTTTGGTTATCAGTAGTTGTGCTTTGAAGATTCGGGTCAGTGTTTGCAGTTATTCTGCAGTTTATCACATTCCAACACTTTTACCGTTTTCATTTTGCCGTTACACAAAACCATTTCTCTTCCTCCACATGTCTTTGCCACTTTCTGGCAAACATCAAATTCTCAGCTCATCCTCCTTTTTTCTCTTGTTGCATTACTGCATAAGGAAATATCTGCAAGTTGTTTCTGTTACACATCATTCAATGGAAGAACATCTGCTGGAACGAGTAATTTAAGGGGCGTATAAAGTCATAAGAGCAACTATGGACTCGGTGACAGTTACTACCTCACTAAGCTGAAATGCAGTGAACACGCAGGTGACTTTTCTTTGGTGGATTTAGCTGTAAAAAAAAAAAACTTTGACCTTTTGGCACAAAAGGCTTTAAGCGCCCTGTCAGAGCCATCTGAGCTCACTCAATTATCCCACGCGTGGTCCTGTCTGACATAATGTGCTTTGCTTTATCACATTCATAAAGCTGCAAAGAAAGAAATGAAAAAGTCGTGACCACAAAGGCAACACTTCAAATAAGGAACAAAAAGTTTCATATGATTTTAACACTCTGTCACAACACGCTGACATGTGAAACAATCACAGGTCGATAAGCGTACACACATTCACGACCACATACCAACACACGTCCTCATTAACAGCACGAACGCAGGCGTCACATGTGAGTTTGTGTAGTGAATGCGTCTGTTGTCTGGAGGTAGTGAGGTGCTGACAGAGAAGAAAGAGGAGCAGTCTTCAAACACATCCACGGGCAGGTCGTGCTCGCCGTTATGCCCTGCCGGGGGCCATATTTGTTGATTCTTGGGCCTCCAAATCATTAATTTAAGTGCAAAGAAACCTGAGAACGGCCTCGAACCCACCGAGGCAAAGTCTCTCACACACACACATGCACATATTTATTTGGTAAAACTTACATCCAGGAACAGTGACGTGTGCACGTGCTCACATACACACCCTGCATTGCATAACAAATGATTTCACTTTAATTGCTGTTCCTGTTTATTTACCTCTGCCTGTAATGGATGGTCCTTTTTTTTTTGCTGAGCAGCCAATCACAGTGAAGCAGAGCCGCCCAGCAAATCTGGAACAATTACTTGTAATTTGACTTTTCTCTTCATACGCAGCAAACACCAACCCAGGACGCGACAGTTCATTACCATTAATTGTTTAAGTGTTTTGGGATCTTTATGTATTTACCTGTGCACATATCTAAGTTTGTCTTGTTCCTTCACTATGCCCCTGATGACTGATGATAATGTCTTCAGTGATTGGTAGTTATTTTCGGGCCTGTTTGCTCAGCCAATGAGGCGCCCCCAGCGTACCAGACATACATCATTGTTTCGCAGCCCTCAGGAAAGAAGTGAGTTGTTACTGACTGCTGTGCGGCCGACTAACAGACACATTCCAATAGTTTTTTTCTTTTTATTAATGAGCTCTTGATGTTTGAGTTGCTGCCAACTGCATTTAGGGAATTCTTAAGGAGCTCTGGAGACTTGCCAGACAGTCACAGGAAGAAACTGGTCAAGCTATAGCATAAAAACACAAATGTCCACACTGGACTCTATTGTCTGCGTCTGTTTGTCCAGCAATGTGATGTAACCTCTTTGGAGATCACTGTGGAAATTAAAAACAACCTAACGTCACCGACAAGAAAATGCATTTTCACACACCGATGTGAGACAGAGAGTTTAGCTTTTGTTTGTTGTATTCTTTGCATTTTACATGTTTTACTCACTTTGTTCTCAATGTTTCTTCTCACAGCTCGTCGAATCAGATACCAGGCATCAGCTGCAAGAACACAGATGCACCGGCTCATATATCCTTCACCGTCGTGACCACCAGACCTGATTAAACACAGATATAAATGCACACTCGAGCACCCACCATTGCACTGGGATTCTGGTGAAGTTTTCAAATGGGCAGAAATGAGTTATTCTAGCAGCTGGTATGCAGTGGCCCACAGAAGACCTGGGAACACTGTGTGTGCACCTCATCAGAACATCTGGCATCAGTGTGGCAAGCGCTCCACTGCCTTCATTTCTCCAGCTTTCTTCAGTTGGAAGCTGGATTTGTTTTACAGTACCGTGGTGCTACAGAGTGCTGGCTTCTCATCAACAACTGTTGACTATGAGTGCGGCCGAGCTGAGCCAGAGGAACTCCTGCCAGCTCCAGACTCTTTTATGGTAGCATGAACAGTATTCACGTTTGCAGCTAAATATCAGACTCGTGTAAATATGACAACACGGACCTTGTAATCCATGATCCACAGAGACCTTCTCGATGTATTGTGCCAAAGGAGATATCTGCTGAGATGCATTACTGAAATGACACTGCAACTGAGTGCTTTGTAAAACCACCCTTACCCATCTCCCGTTTCCTGCAGAGAGATCAGCACAAAATGTTGATGATTAGCTTCCTTCTTTTCCAAGAACAGGCTCCTTAGTCCTGGGAGGGAAACACAGCTGACCTCAAAGCAGCCAACTTATTATAAGTCTGTATACATTTCTCCTTGTGTTCGTCTTGCCTCCCTTCACTGTTTAATGAACCACTTTCATGTTCTGTTTGATTTTCTGCAGCTGAAACTATTTGAGTGCCACTTTTCTTCTTCTTCTTTTTTAAATATCACAGATTCACGTGACTTATTGTTCTGATTTCAGCGAGTGGTGTGTTATGTTACTGTCTATTGATCTGTGAATCTGACTGACGAATCTGATTATAATCAAGTGTCTTGCATTAATACTTTTTTCACTGTACTGGAGCTTGACCTGATGTGATGACGATGTACAACTGCAGTTTGATTTAGCAGCATAGTGGTGTTTTCATTTGGTTGTTACCTAATATGTACAGTTTTTGTAGTGTGTGTGTGTGTGTGTGTGTGTTCGTTGTGATGATATGAACGTTTGGGGTGACAGCGGTCGCCCTTGACTTCCTCCACAGTGGTTTGCAGTGATCAGCCTGTTTCTGTTGTTTGAATAAAATATTGGTTTCACAAGAACTGAGCGAACTGTGCAAACTGTGTGCTGCATCAGTGAGGCCACAGCGTGAGCACTGATGCTGGGATGGTTGATAAATATGAGTGCAACGACGAGTGTTTTTCACAAGTTTAAAGTCGTCGTCGTCCCCACACACACACTAATGGCATCAACAATAGTTTCTTGCACTGCACGAGAAAGATTTTTTTTTCCTTTTTTTCGGTTTTCATGGTCGACCAATTCTCTCTCTCTCTCCCTCATAAACTCAGCCAGATGTTGCCCTTTTTTATCCTGGGGGACTTGTGGGGGGGTAGGGGTAGTGAGGCATGGTGGTGCTGGGTAGTGGTGGGGGTGGCTAAGGATGTTTTAAAGTGTTCTCTGACACAGTCAGAAGTCTGCAGCATTCAACATGGTAACGCTGTGAGCCCAAAATGCCCCGGACTCAACGCTGTCGCAGCTATGACGACACAACAAGATTACAGTCCCACACTGTGTGAAAACAGCCAAAAAGCATTGTTAATATTAAGCTTTCAGTTACACACATGGAGTGTGGTGTTAACACTTGATGGCTACTGTTAGATCATATGTGGTGACTATGGGACTGGAATGGCAGCTCTCACTGGTCCAAACAGCTCTGAAGTCCATCACTGCACAGAGAGGATTCAAACACAGGGAACAGTGGTAACCACGGCACCACCACGTATAAAACATGTAAAAATGTAGCTTTGCATCATACTAAGTAGCTCATTTGAAAGAAAACACAGCTTACACTTGGATTTTGTCCAAGTGCTGTAAAAGACGTCACAAAAAAGCTAGCTGGGAGCCAAATCAGGCATTTTCCATCACACGATGTAAAGGAAAGGCAGCAGACCTGCGAGATTGATGGCGCTTAATTAAGGCAACTACATCAGTGTAATCATCTCCTCCATCAGTTAAAAGCAAGTCTTTATTTTGGTCCACAGGCAGACATACAGGTGACTGTCTGCTTGCATTAATTTTAGCATTGTTTTACTTCTTTCGCTGTTATCCTGTCTCTGTTTCCTCAAACCAGCTTCTGTCCATCGCAATTGAAAACTACACGTCTTTCACCCTTGAATGGCCTCATTGTGCACACACTGAGTAATCGACAGTGTGACACATTAAAAGGATTGAACACTTTACCCTCAGACTGTACTCCGTGAAAAATATCGAACTATGAGCTGACAGATTCCTGCAGCATGTTTTGAGATACCATAAAATAATAATTATTATGCCTGGGAGCTATTTCTAATGACTGTAATGCTCACGGGCACTTAGGTGATGAGAGCAGCCTGTATAAGCACATGATATGGACCTGCTTGTCTTGATTTTACTGAGCGGTAACTCGATCTGCTGCCAGTGAAAATCCAAACGCGGCTCTGGTATGGATAGGGTAATAGCCTCGGGTGCTTTATACGTTTGTTTAAGGTAATAGAGACGCTTGTTTTGTAACAGCCTGTTCCGCCCTTCTCTTTCTCTCCCCCCTCCTCACCCCTCTCTCTCCCCCCTCCCCCCCCTCTCTCTCTCCTCAATTCCAACTACGTTGAAATTCCTCGGTTGTTGAAAGTTGGTGACTGGAAGAAGAAAAGAGGGATTTGAGGAGAAATGTGAAGCGCATGCGCCATGTGAAGGTTTTGCTCCGCGCATCAATGCAGCAATGTGCTAGTTTGAGAGAGGAGGCGACCGGGGAGCAGGTGAGAGAGAGAGAGGGGAAGAGAAAAGAGGGAGGGATAGTTTTTTGCACTTCAACACAGACGGTGTGGGAGGACGACGCACTTGGAGCTTCAGAAAAGCCGCTGTTGTTCACACGCGGTGCTCTTTTCCTCCCCCTGGCACCGTGCGCGCTCGCCGAGCCGCACTGTTTGGAGATAGTCCGCGCGGAAAGTTTTTGGAGCATAAAGTCTGGAGCCGATCAATTAATGTTTTTATTTATCTTTTTCGGTGAGGCGGATGAATGACTTGCTTTTTTTGAGAGTGGAGACTTTTAATCCGAGTTGGGGAATTGTCTTGAGTCGTTTTTGGTTTTTGCACAGAATGGAAGGTAAATTGACGAGTCGTTTGTGGCGAGGATCACCGTGTGGATCTTTCCGCAGGTAAAACGCGCCGTGGCGTGAGCGTGTGATCTGCTGGAATTAATTGTCTGAACATTTTTACGTCGTTTTTCTTCTTGTGGTGTAGTTTAGCTGGATTCTGGGACAGTTTTCCACTCGGACAGACAAGTTTCATGCTGCTTTTAATTAGAAGCGAATCAACAGTTAGGTTTCCGCCAGTGGCGCTTTGGGTTGCCGTAGGTGGTTGTATTTGTTAATAGGTACCGCAAAGTCACGCACTGAATCGTGAAAGGAAAGGACTATTTCCACACACTGTCACCAGATACTTCATCCATCCCGCTGCTTACTACCAGACTTTAAGCTGTTAAGCGCACGGAGCGCTTGCACTGATTTTTTTTTTTCGAGGTGTGCGTCAAACACTAAACCTGAAGAACTCTCAGCTTTGACTCCCTGAGCTGCACTTTGTTCATCCCAACCAGGCATTTCCAAGAGATTCCGGGGAAAACGAAAAAAAGAAACTACGGTACTCGCCTTGAGTGCAGCGGAAAAGGAAATCTTAAATCCACCTGGCCTGCTCTGTGATTATTGGTTTGCTATCGTCTGCAGAGAGTGGATTACGACTTCTAACGGGCTGTGCTCCCCGGTGAGTAGTCTGTACGTCTCTTAGTTGACTCAGCTTTCCACCCCAGCCACAGTTTATCTTAAAGAGTGGAAAATTTGTGTTTCAGGGGGATGTTTTTGAACTTGTACAGGCTCTGGATGTGGACAAAAGTGCTTGACAGATGTGATGTGTGAAACATGCGCCCCCCCCCCCTCCTATTGCCTGACAGCCGTTTGGCACTTCGCTATTGTGCAAACATTAAATAAAAAAAGCACAGTATTTGTTAGAAATGCATAAGATTTCTGCTTAAAAGCTTTTAACGAACACTGTTCTATTGTTAAGTGAGCAGGCAGTGTTCTCTGCTGCTCTCCAACTCCTTGTACCTGGCTCCCTCTCCTGGTGTTGTGTAAACATCGGGCAGACAGGGGAAAAAACGCTCTTCATCTTGTCCTGTTAGCTGCACACAATATTTCAGTCATTAATGAATGTTTATATGTTTAAAAATAGATGTATTTCTTTTTTTTTTAACCTCGTACATTTTTCTTTCTCATTCTACACCAGCACGCGCATCCACACCAAAAAAAGCCTCGTGTAACTGGTTTTATTCACAGTCAGCATACATGATGTCGACTTTAAGATGCTCGTCAGTCTGTAAATATATTGTTCTTTTGTTTTTTTTTTTTTTAAATAGACCGGCCCTTAAATTAAGCATAAATCAACTTGACTTAGAGCGCACACTGGCTTAACTTCACATTTTTCACAGTTTATTGTTGCTAAAACTTTTAAAACACAATTAATCTGTTTAATGATATTTTAAATAGTTTTTCCAAGCGTTTTAACAACACGAGACCAGAACGGGGTGATATCCAGGCCCGGATTTGAGGTATTCCCAGCTCTAGTCCTAAAAGACAGACTTTTTTTTCTGCCCCTCCTATGCTGCTTTCTCGGTTTTAGTGCCATATGGCTCTTTAAAATACCCCCGAAATTAACTTTGACTGAAGTACTGCTTTATCATTCTAGCTGAAATTTGTTCATTTAGCTAGATACCACTTTGACTGACAAAACTCTGCGGTATAGCCATCAGTCATCCGGTCACGTCCTATGAATACCTCGCTCGGGTCAGATCGTTTCCAGGGGTCACTGAACGCAGGATTTGCTTATAAAAAATCATATTCCCATTAATAAAGTTAGTTAGTGCCGTCGATGAAAACAAAATGTAAGATTTATACTCTTCTTTGTTCTGAGTGGATAAACTCGGATGTGAATTGTCAGATCAATGCGCGCGCCGACCGTGTAGCTCCGTGACTCAATCTGCCAAATGAACCCTGTGAGTCACGAGTCACCGCCGCTCTTCAGCTACTCCTAGCAAACTGTTTTGTCAAAAATAATATTTAATTGATTATCAATAAATTACAAAAATGTTTTCAAATATTAAAAAAAGCCGCTTCCTTTGAGGCGTAACTGCTCCAATTAGTGGTTTAAAGTCAGTGTAAAACCGCCGCCCTCTGCGGATTATTGCTTTTAATTTATGTGGAGGAACTGCGAAGAACATAACTTCACCAACTATTACGAGGCAGCTCGCAAACCAAAAGCACGTGCGAGTGTGTGTTGTGCGCGAGTGTGCGCGCGCTGGGTGAGTGATGGTGAACTTGGCCTTGTTTTTAATGAGTCTTCGGCAGGCCCAGGTCTCCACGACTCAACCCTGGAAAATAATGCAGCGTGACAAATTAGACTTGCTCTCGATCCCAAATCACACACGAACACGATGAAGGCTGGCACATCGTTTTAACTCGCGAATTTAGGAGTAATTATTTGACCTAATTTTCTGCCAAAATGGCAACAAAGCGGTGCTGTTGTGCGCAGATAATTTACATTTTCTTTCTTTTCTTTTTTTAAATTCTGTGCGGTTTTCTTTGTGCGAAAGCTGCGAAGTATCCGGTCGTCATCCCCCCGCCACCTGGCTGCTGTCAGACCCATTTTCAATTAATAAGTAGAAAAATTAATCTTAATATAGGCTAATTACATAAAGAGATGTCCGTTAGGCCTCTGTCAGATTACACGCTTAATCGCCACTTTTCGTAGTTATTAGTTTTACTTTTTAATTGTTCCATCTTTTTAAAACAAATTCCGCGTTTTTTCTTATAATTAATTCAATTACCCACCATTAAAAAAACGAATTAAAATTATTTGTTTTAAAAACAGTTTTATTTTAGTTTTTCAAATAAACAAAACATTCTCAGCAAAAGAAAACACAGGTGGGTCTCCCAGAAATGTATTTAAAAGCGGAACTTGGAGCTACAGTTCTGTTTTATTTTTATTGGCCTTAAAAACAAAAACCTTTTCGTTAATATTGCGTTAATATTTGTTAAGTTTAAATTAAATTGTCTAACTCGCACTTCTCAGTCTGTCTGTGCCTTAAAGTGAAACGTCTGGAATGTGTCTTGCGGGGTTTCAGTCATTGTCTTCTCTGGCTGTGTGTCGGTCTGTGTGATTCACACTCTGATATGTTGCCAAATGACTGCTCTGCTGTGGGAGCAGTGATGGCTGCAGGGATTTCATCACACATGCATGTAAATGAGATGTAAAATATACAGCAACCCAGCTGAAAGAATATTTTCTCTGCCCTTTTCTTTCCATAATATGCCAAAGTTGTGCATGAGAAACTAACATCGAGTCAAGCAGGCAGACTGACGAGTATCCTGTTCTCTGTTCTCCTTCAGATCACTGGCAGTATGAACCTGGGGCTAGGCTGTGTGCGTCGGCCGATTTGCTGGCCCTTTGGCAGCGTGTTGGACTCCAGACACTGTGTCTTTGCCCTCACACTCCTCACTCTCCTCATGCAGGTGGTGGTGGAGGCCAACTCGTGGTGGTATGCAATAATTTTCTTTCCATATGCCAGCAACTCTGTGAGTCTTAATGTGTTCAGTGTGCGCCTTTGAAGTGTGTTTACTTGTCATTCTTTCTCTTTTCTGTCATACTAATGTGTAAATAGGACAGCGGTGCCTAAAAAGACTGCAAACAGTTACATATAGGTGATACTGACGGTTTAAGTGTTTATTTGTTGAGGCCTGTATATGTGTGAGCTATATGTCAGACTCTGTGTACCATTAGCTTTGCAAGAAAACTTTCTCTGCCTTACTTTCTTTTGCCAAACCAAAATTATGAACATTGCAAAAAAACATAGAATGCTGTGGTTTCCGAGTCTGCGTCCAAATATTTGCAAATACTGTGTGTGTGTGTGTGTGTGTGTGTGTGTGTGTGTGTGTGTCCTGCTTCCGTTAAAACAGAAGTCTATATTTTCAACACACCTAGCACTTCTAATAATCACAACACTTGACATCCAGTAGCTCTGTGTTTATACACTTGGTGAATATTTATTGTAGCCAATCAGAGCTGCTGTTCAAGGACATTTAACCCAAAACTTCTTAGAAAATATTTTTATTTTCCAGTGAAGCAAATCAGAGCAAATATTGACTCTGCTGGTCGAGTTATAGAAAAACAACAATGTAAACAAATAATTGTAAAGATTTTATACAGATACAAACTAATTAAGCTAAGTAGGACGCTACATTACAGTTGAAACGGCTCAAATTAGTCCTGCAGGAGGACTCACATTACTACACAGCAGACCCTGGAAGGATGTTCACACAGTGTGTGTCTGTCAGTTTCCTTTTCGAGAGGACGCACAGGTGTGAGTGATTTGGAGTTGTGAGCGCGCTCATTGCATGTTTGTGGGACAGAGCATCAGACTGCACTAGTGTGCATGATTTATTTTTCTTCCCCCTTTCTCCTGTGTGCCTGTTTGTGTACATCTGTGTGTGTTTCTGCGTATTCCCTCTGTGTTTCCTTGCCGCTGAGTTTCCTCAGTCTATCAGGTTACACTGGGGGCTAATTGTGTCTCTCTGGGGGCTCTGAGATGGGCCGCTCTAATTGTCCTGTGGCCTGGAACCAGATGCTCATGCTGGTGTTTCCCTCTTCCTCGCTCTCTCGCTCTGTTTTTGTGTTTCTCTTCCACAAAATTGAACGGAACAATTATTTTAGCTGAAATGATCTGGTGCTATAAGAAGCTGAATTTTACTCTCGCTCGATCGAGTTGACATGAGGAAATGCACTCGAGAAATCCTATGAGAATGAATCATATCTGTGTTTTTATATTTTTGTAGTAAAGCTACACGTTTCTTTTAAAACACACTGGCCTTTACATAACTTAAAGTTAAGATGGAAAAAATGCACATTTTGAAACACATGGAAATCCTTATAATTCAAAAAAATGTTTTAAAACAAATGAATTTGGGCAAAGAGCTGTATGCCTTCACTGGACAAGTAACATCAAAAATATGTGCAAAAAGCACAAAATATATAACAACATTATTGTGGAATGATATCAGAAGTTGTGAGATTATTTTTTTAAATTAATATAAAAAAAATAAGGTGACTAAAAATGTCCAAGGGTCGTTTAAAATATGTACATGTTGTTGTTTTGTTTTTTCTTTAAGTCCTGCAAGGATGGCAGCATTTGATTGTGAGAGGAAGGCTGTTCCAGTTCATTGGAGCTCCCGCCACAAACATCTCCCACTAACCTCGATCATGGAGCAGTTAAAGCAGATACCCAGAGGATTTCAGAGACCTCGCAGCATAGGGGCAGAGAACTGCTTAAATACACCCGGGAGCCAACCGATGCGTGGCTTTATAGGCACATAAAGAACCTTAAACTCACAGTTTTAGCCAGCGTAGGCGATCTAGTAGCATCAATTCTTTCCTTATAACAACTTTGTGTCTTTTATTAATGAAAAAATAATATAAAAAACTGTAAAAAAAAAAAATAGTTCAACTCAAAAGTGATTACAGTGGTGCAGCAGTCAGCCACTGGTGATGTTTTTAAAACGTAGCCCTTTATTTCCTTCATGCATCTGTGTTTCCTTTCCTTTCATCTTCATCTCCTGACTGCACCTCTGTCTAAGCTTCACTCGCTGTATATTCTTGGCTCTGACTTTCACATCGACTGTCCTCTGACATTCAGAGTGTGCAGGGTTTCACTCCACCCAGTAACTAACTGCACCTCCATTTCACTGATTAACATAGTTTCATCATCAATGAACCCAATCAAGGCAAATCAGCTGCTGATTGCAGTGTTGGCCCAACAACATTTGTTTTAATGACACATGACTGAAAACACTGTGTCCCCTTCATGCAGGTCTCTGGCCATGAACCCTTTACTAATCCCAGAGGCCTACATCATCGGCGCCCAGCCTCTGTGCAGCCAGCTGGTGGGCCTGTCACAGGGCCAGAAGAAGCTGTGCCAGCTCTACCAGGACCACATGCAGTACATCGGTGAAGGTGCCAAGACGGGCATCAGAGAGTGCCAGTACCAGTTCAGACATCGGCGCTGGAACTGCAGCACGGTGGACAACTCCTCCGTTTTTGGACGGGTCATGCAAATAGGTAAGAGACAAAGGCTGTATGTATGCAGACACAAAGACACAGGAAACTAACAAAGATAGTAACTGTACTCACCAGCATGCTGATAAGCACATTTCCTGTATGTGCCAGATATAACAGGGTTACTTAGATTTTTATATTTTATGTCTTTTTCTTCTTTCTGAGTCACTGACCCTTTTTTATGTTTGTGAAAAGTGTGTGAAACGTATGCGGCTGCTGATGCTCAGCAGCTGTGTGGAGGGAATAGTTGGTGGGTGAGGTTGCTCGATAAATCACATGTGGCTTTGGCCTGCTCAACCAGCCCCCTGATACGGAGCAGGAGGGAGTCGGAGAATCTGCTTCCCCCCCTGATGAATGGGAGACAGTCTAATACACAAAGACGCACACACACACACGCAGACACACAAACTCTGGACTGTAGCCGACTCTGTATTTACAAGTAAGAGGAGTGCTGCGAGTATATGGACCCATATATCACCACGTCAGAGATTACATTGTCTGTTTGTCTCTTATAGAAAGTTCCAGAGCTTTCCAGTCCCTAAAATCGAGTCCTGTTCTGGGGTCCTATCATTAAACACACAATGTTCCAGTTTCACTTGGATGTTGGAGCAGCTCAGGATGCTGCTGGCAAAATCTGAATGGGTCAAATCTTCCAGTTTTGGCCATTTTTCATTTATTTTTAGTTTGTCTTCAGTGTTTAGTTCAGACAAATCAGTGGCAGACACTGGATGTGTGTTGTCACACTAAGGACATGTAATGAAATAAATTAAATTTAAATGTAATGTTATCTTTTCTCTGGATTATCTACAGGACACATGGTCAGTGGTTTCTGTGGTGACTGTTCAGAGAAGCACTTCCTGTGTTTGCAGATTTTCTAACTGGGACATTTTAAGGAAAAGTGTAAACATTTTGTGTACAAACAAATATTAGTTTACTTGAACTGTAGTGGGTGGAGTTCGAGTCCTCAGAGCTGAAGCGGGTTGAACGGACATGTGGATGTCGCACCCTTTCCTTCGTGTTGCGTGACCATTTAGCGCGCTGCACTTCTGTGTGTAGCTGCCTGCCGTGTCTCTGCTCCTTACTCCCTTTCCACAAATGATTCTTCATAAGCAGCCGTTCTCCTCCCATTCCTCTTCTCCCTCCCACTTCCTCCCCAACAGTGATCCCATCTCAGTCCACCTTGGGCCATGTAAACATGTCCTCCCCTCTATAGCCGTCCATATGAAAGCCTGTCTTACTGTCTGCTGGCTCAGGACACTGCTGGTGATTTAAAGCATGGCTCCGGGGGTGCTGGCGTGGCTGGGTTCAGACTCTTTCCTTGCATGGCTTGGCTAGCTCGAGGGTGGGGGACATTAGACGGGCGGCAGCAGTGTGGGAGACGACGGTTTGTCTGTCTGCAGGCCCACCGTTAGGCCAGTATTCTCAGGCTGGATTAAAAGTAGTACTAACCTAATAACCCCCCCACCACGCTCTGATCACTAATAGCAGTTTTTCCCACCTGGATCTCTTTTAGCCTCTCCAGGAGGTTTCTTTATTCGTCTTTTCTTCCTTTTTGGAAATTTAAATGTGTTTCTTTTCTTATATTACTTGTTTTGTTTCTTTCTTTCCTGACTTATCTCTTCACTCGCCTTCGTTTCCCTCGTCTCACGCTGTCCACATGTTATTATCATTATAGTCTCTAAAGGTTTGACCAGCACGTATATGAGCTGTGCGTTTTATTGTGTAGCAGTCCTCGTCTTCAGTGTCAACACACGGCTTCATAGTTTGGTAGTCTGTTTCTTCTTTAGTTGATTTTCTCTCGTGGCTTCGTACAGCGACAAAAACTGCTTATGTGCAATTTTCTGCCTTTTTTTTAAAGTCACCCGAAGTCTTCGCTCTATAGAGGAAATGTTGAGGGTGGAAACAGTTGGAATTAATGTGCAGCGGCTCCAGAGTCACTCAGTCATGACAGATAAACTAAAAGAACCGTTGTCACGTTCAATTTGGGTGACATGGCAGAGACTTGTTAAGAAGGATGTCTGTCACTGGAGGGCGCCGTCTTCTCTCTGGCTGAAGCCCAATAACAGCAAACCAGATTACACTGTTCAACATGTTGTTGATGACGACCCTGCAGCGCTTGGCTGAAGTGCTCTGTAATCTTAAGTGTATGGTGAATGCTGTCAAATGACATCACATCTCAAAGTGCCGTGCACACACACACACTTAAAGCGAACGCTGGTGAGATCCACTGGCTACAGGAGACACGTGCATGCTTAACCTACAGAAATGAAAGGAGAGGATGGGGATCACTTTTCTTGTCTCGTGGGTTGCAGCGTTTTTAAAATTGGGCAGCTTAAAACAAAACTTGGACCTCTACTCTTGTCTTGTTTCAAATGTCATGTGGTATTTGTATCTGCAGGCAGTCGAGAGACGGCATTCACGTATGCCATAAGTGCCGCCGGCGTGGTGAACGCTGTGAGCCGGGCCTGCAGAGAGGGTGAGCTTTCCAGCTGTGGGTGCAGTCGTGCTGCTCGCCCCAAAGATCTTCCCCGAGACTGGCTCTGGGGCGGCTGCGGAGACAACCTCAACTACGGCTATAGGTTCTCCAGGGAGTTCGTGGATGCCCGTGAGAGGGAGAAGAGCTTCCCCAAAGGCTCACACGAGAATGCACGGCTGCTGATGAATATTCACAATAATGAGGCAGGACGGAGGGTAAGATGGCCGAGTCACATACACGTGCACACGTAATCTTTTATTACTTTTTTAAAAACAAGCAGAGAGACGTGTATATATACCTCACGCTTCAAAATTAGACCAACCAGAGCTTGAAAGGTTTGTTTTTAAGTGAGATAGTCCAGTCCAGGTCAATCAGACAGGTTTCCACTGATCATCTGTGTAACAGCTCCATCTGCTCTCCTGAGGCTTTGATCTATGAAAAGATGGAGTCGCTGCAGACAGCTCTGGAGTTTCTTTTCCTTTTAAAACATCTTGAAACCACCTCAAAGGAATCGTAATGCCAGATTGCCAGGCTGTACTCTTTCAAGGAGGACAAACGAGTGGACATCACTGCACCCTGGAGCACCCTGCACTTTGTCCTTTTTAGCAAAGTGATGCCTCATGAGATCAAGAGCAGCACATTATTCAAATATTTATACAGGCAGGGTGAATTTACAGCACGAAGCATGTGGTCAAGTTTCTTTTTTCCGTTTTCTGAAGAATAATAATTATGCAACCTGTTGTTTTTGTTTCTCTCCGATCTTCTTTTTCTCAAGATTGTGTCAGACCTTGCCCACGTGTCCTGCAAGTGCCACGGAGTATCAGGTTCCTGCAGCCTGAAGACCTGCTGGCTGCAGCTGGCCGACTTCCGCAAGGTGGGCGATGCACTGAAGGAAAAGTATGACAGCGCCGTAGCCATGAAACTCAACTCGAGAGGAAAGCTGGTGCAGATGCACAGTAGGTTCAACCCTCCCACGAACCATGACCTGGTGTACATCGAGCAAAGTCCAGACTACTGCTTGAAGAACCAAAGCACAGGCTCTTTGGGCACAGTGGGGCGGCTTTGCAACAAGACCTCAGAGGGCATGGATGGGTGCGAGCTGATGTGCTGCGGCAGAGGTTACGACCAGTACAAGGCCCAGATAGTGGAGCGGTGCCACTGCAAGTTCCACTGGTGCTGCTACGTCAAGTGCAAGCGCTGCACCAAAGTCGTAGACCAATTTGTCTGCAAGTGAGAAGAAGAGTGTTGCCTGTGTGTGTTGGCTTGCAGATAATGGGCATAAATCTGTGTGTATTCATGAGCAGAGGAGCTGAACACAGAGAGAATGGAAGAAAGAAACTATATAAATTATATTTATAGAGTTAAACAATTATGCCATTGCAAAAAGACTTAAAAAAATCATATGTCCTCAGAAACTGAGAGTATTGTGAAATATTTATTTTCAGATTGTAATGTTTTATTTTGGCCCGGTCATCAGCAGAAAACCTTTAAATCTTTCAAGTGCCTAAAACTGGCTGGAAATTGTATACCATGGTTCCTTTTAACTGTTTTTTTTAACCACAGAAAAGGCTCTGTAGAGGAAATGGGTCACAGCGTTTTAAATTGGACTGTGCCTTTCATTTTCATAGATGAGTAAGGTTTAATTTTTGTGGCATAATTGACAAAAGGTCCTATTTTGTTGTTTGGAGAGAGACTATAAAGAGGATGTGCTGTAGTCTTATTCCCAGACCAGCCTTCACATCGGTGCTGAAGTCTGCTTGTCCCCCTTCACCTGTACAGTAAGGAACACTGTCGGTTTGTACGAGTCCTTGGAGTACAATGGGCACAAGAAGAGGGCTATTTTGGGGATTGGGCCATTTTGACTAAGCTGTCCCAGATGCCTTAGAGTTCCCCAGGTGCTGCAACAAGCCCTCCATCATTATGCACTTTGATACAGAGGCTTAAACATGTCTGTACGTGTCTGTTCAGCTGTTATCGTTATATCAATATTATAGCCTACAATCTTTCCATATTACTTCAAATTATCCATTTAACATTATTCTACAATACTTAACACGGTTTAAATATATATGGGCAATGTTGTGGTTACAGTGGAGAAATATTCCACACTGTGTATATAGTACGTCTATCCAACAAACCAATCAGTAAACTGTATTTATTTTCCTAAAACAGATTTTAGCTTTCAGCAGAAAAGCTTCACAATAGACCAATAATGAGGCAGGCATCCCAAAGTTCACCTTTTAAACGGTAATTCTCACTAATGCGGCTCCTCACTGTTTTTGCAAAAGGGAAATGCACCTTATCGTCGTGGAAACAACTCATGCTTTACTCTCACACACATTGTATCACCGGTGTTCAGGTTACGATGCTGCCACACATTTCCACTACCACTCAGTTAACTTCTTACTGTCCCTGTGATGATTCTCGCTAGACAAACTATTTCTACCAATCCAACTATGTATATTTATAAGCTTCTCTATGAATTTGAGGTTTGTTAAACTTAATGTGCTATAGCAAATATTTTGTTATTTTTTACAAATTGGCTCAATGCTCTACTTTGTTTCAATAAATACCGAGTGTAAAACCAACGAGGAAGTATTTTACTCAGTCTTTAATCATGTTGTCTGTGCCTCCTTGAGTTTCTTCTTCCTTCAAATAAAGATTCTCCTTCTTGCATATACAGGGTCGGCCATTTATATGGATACACCATGGTGATGTTAAAGTCCTGTTTGTGGCACGGTGTATGCATATAAATGGCCCACCCTGTACATTACTAAATGCACATGCCAAAAACGTATTGAGACACATCCACTGGACACTTAAGTACATATTTCTATATCTGGGTTGGACACCTTTTGCCTTCAGAACTACCTCATTTTTGCACAAGTTAACAAAGTGTTGGGAACCTTCCTCAGAGATTGATCAATATTGATAAGCTGGCATCACACAGTTACTGCAGATTTGAGTCTCCCTTCCACCATCCCAGAGGCTCTATTGCTTTGAGATGTTACTGTGACTTTTTGAGTACCACAAACTCATTGCCTTTTTTTAGAAATCAGTTTGCAATAGTTTGAGCTTTGTTATCCTGCTGGGAGCAACTTTCAGAAGATGGACACGATGTATTTGTAAAGGGATGGAGATGGTCAACAATACTCAGGTAGGCTGTGACATTTAAACGCTAGTTGGTACTAGTGGGCCCAAAGTACTAGGATGCACACATTACACCATGACCAGCAGCTGATCCACTCATTCATGTAGTTTACATCAAATTCTCAACCTACCCTATCAATGATGCAGCATTTGAATCTTTTATTGTCCCATTCTGGTGAGTGTGAACTGTACACTCACTTTCTTGTTCTTAGATGACCGATGTGATGCCTGGTGTGGTCTTCTGCTACTGTTCATCTGCTTCGAGGTCTTACTGCATGAGTCATCTGGCCATGCTCCTCTGGCATTTTCACCCAGAGAACTGCCGCTCCCTGGATATTTTCTTTTTCGGACCGTTCTCTGTAAGTTCTCTGTAGATGGATCTGTGGGAAAATCCCAGCAGATCAGCAGTTTCTGAAATACTCACACCAGCCCATCCGGCCCCAACAACCACGCC